CCATTAATTATTGTTATATTTGGTATCATTTTTTGTATTTCTTCTTCAATAATTCTTCCTTTAATTGGATTATTTCTTAAATCAATTTCTTCTATTCTTATATTAATTTCTTCTATTCTTTCTATTTCATTATTTGATATATCTATCCCTTTAACTATTGGATATATTTTATTAATATTATTAATTACTTGTATACTTTTTATTCTATTCCCTGAAAGACATATATATTTAATCATTGAATTCTTATCACTAATACTTTTCATTATCCTTTTGATAAATACTTCATCTACTTCTCTTTTACTTCCTATTTCCCCTATTTTCTCTTTGAGTCTCGACATGTCTATTATTCCTTTCCTTCCATCATACCATTTCTCTAAAATTTCTTTCCCTATCTCTTCTATCCTTTTTTCTTTGTTTTCTATTACTTCAACTCTCACCTCCATATCTTTATATCGGATTATTCTTTTCTTTCCTTCTTTATTCATTTCTTTCTTTTCTACTTGACATATATAATTCATCCCTATCTCTTTAATCTTTCCAATTCTTATATTCATCTCTCTCTTTAAAAATTCTTTAACTTGTTGTCTTGTCCCATTAAAATTATATACTCCTATCTTCATTCCTTTCTTTTGTTTTTTTAGTTATTCTCTTCTTTCTTTTTCCTCTCCCTTCTACCTTTTTCTTTTCTCAAAATTAATTAATCACACTTTTCTTAACTTTTTTTTTGTTATTTATTAAACACAATACAAATTATTATTTTAAGTGTAATTTTTCCTATTTTTAATAAAAAATTCTTTTAATTCAACTCATAATTGTTGCTAACGTTTTTTCGTTGAAGTATAAGAATATTAAACTGATTAAAAGAAATTGATTCAAACAGATGAACCTATTATAATAATGTTTATAAAAATTAGAAAACTCAATAAAGTAATTTATTTATTAATCATTTTTATCTAGAATTAAATTAAAACAAATTACTCACTCATTAAAATTTATTATAAATAGTTTTTTATCTTTTTTTTATGTAAAAAAAGACAAAAACTGTTAAGTTTTAATTGGAGTTAATATGCACTTGCTTTATTTGCTGTTATACCAATATTTTTTTCTTTGGTTAAAACAATTTCCTCTTTTAGCCTTTTTTGGTTGAGTTATAAAATGAAAAATATGTCATTAATAATAATTGTATGTTTAAGAAGGGTTATATTTTCATTATTCCATGAATTATTTATTACTGATAAATAAACAATATTTAATTTTTTTTTGGTTTATAATGAGAGTTTGTAATGTTATATATAAGATGAGATGAAGTATCAGTTTTTTGCTTTAAGTTTTATGTTAATATAATAGTTTATATCTTACACATTATCATTTATTTCATTAAAGTAATAATCCCCTTGAGTTATTTAATAAAAGTTATTGAACTACATTTAAACAAAAAGGAATTTTTTATGTTTATAGTTTATTCAATTCAAAATAAAATATTTACGTTTTATAATTCTTGAATAACAAAGTCTACGTTATTTTAATATTAAAAAAATTACTAATTGAATAAAAATCATCAATAAAAAGCAATCATCTCTCATTCATTGTGGTACTTATTATTTCTCTTCAGTGAATTTTGAAGTGCCAAAGGCATCAGTAATTTCTTTGAGAATATTACTAATTTGTTTTGAATTAATAATCATAATAGAAATAAAATCTTTTACCTTTCCTGGTAAAGTCCATCTATCCTTAGAAGATACGGAAACAACAACACCAGCTTCTGCAAATTTTGAATAGATTTGATTTTCCATTAATAAATATTCTAATTCATCAGAAACATGAATTTTCTTTTTTCTTCTTATTACTGTCTGTTCTTCATCATCATTATTTCCATCATCATCATCAAGACCTTTAACACATGATGCAGCAATGACATAATAATTAACTGGTTGAGTGATGTGATGTTCAGTATCATAAATACCAATTTCTTCATAAATGGTATTATGTAATAATGAATTTAAGTCAGATGGACAATTTACCATTCTCTCATTAACAATTAACATTCTTCTTCCTGCTTCACCACTTAATACTTTCTGAACAAAATCAAGTTTTTCTTGGTTATATTGTTTGAATGCATTAATAGTGTATTTACAAAAATCATCATAAATTCCATCAACTTTTAATGACTCAAAATCTACTGGAATAGCAAGACCATAAGTATCATTATCACTATTCTTAATAACTGACCCTATTTCTGTTTTGATTAAAATATCAGTCAATGTCCTCAAATTAATTCCAGTGTACTTTAAAGGACTGTGTAATAAGAAATTCTTAATTTCTAAATAATCATTTTCACTTTGATTTTCTAAAAAGATGTCTACATTAATTTCTTCCATTGCATCATCTCCTTCATCTGTTTCTACAGGAACAAATGTATTTTCTTCTAATTCTTCTTCTTCCATTGCATTACGTGCTCTTCTCTTCATTTTCCTATTTATCTTTTTTTTTAATTTTAGGGTTTTTATGACAAAATTTTAAAATAAAACTTTTTTTGTTTTTTGAATTTTATATATTTTTTTGTGCTTTTTTTTATTTCTTCTTTTCTTATAGTCTTAAAGTGTTTTTTTTGTTTATATATTAGATACAACCTAATTTAAGAGCAAGAATAAATGGTAACTCAATAGAAAAAAAACAACCAATTGAAATTTTGATTATAGTATTTATTATATTATAATTTAGTTAGAGAAGAGAAGAATTTGAAATATCTTTTGTTATACTTCACAAAAAAAACATCACCAACTTAAAATATAAAATGATCCTCTTACAAAGAGAATACATATATTTCATTATTTTTGTTATTATTCTTCAACTATCTGCGATTTATCTTTATGGAACTGGGTTTTTAATCACATCGATTCAATCACAAAAGAAAAGTCAATGTAATGATCCCTTAATGACAAATACACTTTATGCACAGTCTCATCCTCCTGAATTATGTTGGACAACTCCTTTATTTAAGAAAACAGCTTTGTATCTTGTTGATGCTCTTAGATTTGATTTTGCTTTTTCTACTGACTATCCTCCTTTGTTTGAGAATATCACTGACCCTAATAACTTTAGATTCTACCATAATAATATGGGTGTTTTTAATTCTTTAGAAAATCAATATCCTTCTCGTTCTTCAAAATATCATTTCATTCCTGACCCACCAACTACAACTGCACAACGTGTTAAGGCAATGACAACAGGAGGTGTTCCAGCCTTTATTGAAATATCTACCATGTTCAATAACCCTGCTATTGTTGAAGATTCATTAATACACCAATTTAAAGAGAATGGACTAAGAACAGTTTTTGAAGGAGATTCATTATGGATTGATTTATATCCTACTCAATTTAATGACGTTTCAACTGGTCCATCTCTTGACATAGCAGACTTAGATAGTGTTGATAATATATGTGATAAAGCATTACAACGTCATCAAAATGAAAGTGATTATGATGTAATGATATCTCATTTTCTTGGAATTGATCATACTGGTCATTATTATGTTGCTAACCATCCATCAATGAAGAAAAAATTAATTGAAATTAATAATATTCTTAATCGATCATTATATTCATTACCTGAAGATACATTAGCATTAGTATTTGGTGATCATGGAGTAACAGAAGAAGGGAATCATGGAGGATCAACACTACAAGAATTAGATGCAGGGATGTTTGTTTATGATAATAGGAAAAGTCGAAAAGGAGGAAGAAAAGAAGTAGAGAAGATAACACAAATTGATATTGTACCAACGATAGCAATTGGAATGGGTATTCCTATACCATACAGTAACATTGGAACACCGATTCGAGATATTATATTAGGAAGAGAAGAGAAACTTGAAGATATTCAAAGATATGTGAATGCATTAAACATCACAACGAATCAAATAATACGATATTTAAAAGAAAAAGAAGGGATAATACGAGAAACATGGATAAGTGAAATAGAAGAAGAAATTCAAAAAGTTCAAAAAGAAGAAATTCAATGGTTTGAAAACCAAGAAAAGTTATTAGAATTAATGAATGAACATGAACGAATAAGTCATGAAATACATAAACAATATGTAGAACATAAATCAACATTCAAATTCAATTATATGTTAGCTGGTATTATAGTAATGATTGTTTCATTAGTGTGTGGTTTACTCTTTGTTTTTGGATATCCACAATTCCATTTTACTACATTAAAAATTATTCATGGATTCATTTTAGGAATGGTTCCAGCTTTATTTTTAAGAAGGATATATGACATAGGTATGAGTAAAATTGATCAATATGTATTTTTTACAAGTCTTTTAGGAGGTCTTTCTTTCATATCGAATTTTGCAAGTCAATTCAATACATTTATTCTTTCTGGAACTAGAATCACAACAACTGTAACTTTTGACATTATTGTTAATATTATTCTTTGTTTTATTTATGGATTTGGACAATACACTGATTCATACATTAAAGAAGAAGAATATACATCATTTTATGTTGCAGAATGGATTTCAATAATTATGTTTTTCTTTGCATTATCTCAACGTAAACAAGGAAGTATTAAGATATTGTGTTATCATTTTCTTCTTATTATTTTAAGTTCTTGTATTAAATTATTCTCATTCCATGTAATATCCTTATTACTACTACCAATTGTCTTATACTTAATTACACATTCTATAAACATTTCAATTAGTTCAATATGTGCATTAGTTTATCATTTAATAAGACCATACCCAACTTCATTTTTAGGAATTATCTTACCAGATACTATTTATTTGTTAACACTTATTTCATTGGTTATGTGTTATAAGCAACGGTTATCAGTTATTCACTATTTATATTCATTGATACCATTAGCAACAGTTATACTACCATACTCTTCATCAACAATATTATTATTATTTATTGGTTTTGTTTATGTTTTTAAAGAGTATGAATTTTCAGAGAGTATTACCACTTTCTTCTTGTTTATTGGAATTCATTTCTTCTTCTTAAGTGGACATGCATTCCAATTTAGTGATATTCAGTTTAATGCTGGATTTATTGGAATACCATTCTATTCATTCTTTGGAAATGGATTTTTGGTTATTTTGAATACATTCTTCTTCCCTGGTATTGTTGTATTAGCTATTGCAGGAATTACACAATCAAAAGTTAATGGAACACTTCTTTATACTAGAAGCTCAATATTGGTTATGTTATTCTTTAGTTATCAACTCCTTTCTATTATGATTTTTACTTATTTTGTATCTGGGCATTTAGAAATCTTCAGAATCTTTACACCAAAAGTATGTTTTGATGCAGCAATAACAGTTGTAGTGGATGTCATTGTTTTTGTTGTTTATTTCATTCTAAGAGAAGCAAAAAGCGAACATTAATCCTGAAAAAACAAAGAATATTAATTTCGTTATTCTTTTAATTTTTGTTTTTCTTTTTGTTATTATTTGTAGATCTTTAGGAATATTTAGTAATACATCAAAATATAACCTATCTTTTTAAACCTATAGGATTTATATCTGTTGTTACAAAGTTTAAGAAAAAGACAAAAAAAAGATAAGTACGAATATTAAATAATAAAGTCTACAGTGAAATCAGCAATAATATTGTTTATAAGACCTAACAAGATTCTTTACATAAGGGTAAATACAATCAAGAGATTGGTCTCCTGATAATAACTGTTCAACTTGACTAATTAAGTCATCAATCTCATATGAACTAACTTCTCTTGGAGAATTTGGACAAATTCCAGTGACATCAGATTCTTGAGACAGTTCATAACAACTCTGAAGAATTAATAAAACTATTTGTTTATTAATTGCTTGTCTTTGATTAACTCTTTTTTCTTCTAAGCTAAATATTTTAACTGGTTTTCTTGAACCAACAGAGCAGTGATTTTCTTTTTTACATTGAGTAGTATAATTGCACCTCATAGTGTGTTTTGGTTTATCAATTTTCAAGATCTAATATATAAGTTAATAAGTCTTTGATCTGTTTCGTCATCCTCAAAACCATTTTTTGACTAGTTCTTTACTTCTCTGAAATTAAATATTTTTTATTAATTTCATTTCATATTTATTCCAATAACTATAACTTTTGTTAGTTTCCTTTTTATAAATTTAGATTTTTTGTTTTTTTTTGATAACTTCAAGATGAATGGTATAATCTGATTTGCATAAGATCGAGATGAGATTTTGTTTTTTATATAGTAAAATTTATTAAAAAATAACTCCTCTTATAATTTACTCAAAAAAAAAAAATAACTATACAAAATAATAAAAAAATAATAAAATAATGATATTTACTTTAGTATTTAATTTTTCATAGTTTTGGAGAGCTTATTGTTACTTTCTTCATTATCACTTTCTTTATAACAAGAATTATTTGTTGGTATATTTGGTTTGATATTAAACAATCAAAATAACATTATTGTATAAGTAATACATGTACCATTTATTTATATAATACTTATTATTGTTATTATGATAATGTCAACGTTTAATTCTCTTTACTTTTTGTTTTAATAACACAAGAATAAATCAAGTAATTTTCTCTCTAAAAGAATATTTTCTAGATATTTATGATTAAAGTTTCTTAATTTTTCTTGTATTTTCTATTTATTTAATAATCTATTTATATTACTTTCATTTTGTACATTAATTACATTACTTAGATATTTTTTCTTTTATTTCTTATTGTAGAGATTTATCAATTCATTTTCAAAATTTATTCAAAAACAAAAAATAAAAAAAGGTGATTTAGAAGAGTAGTGCAAGAAGTAAAGACAACAACGAAACTAAAACATATGAAGTAGAATTTTCTGGGTCATTGTCTTTTTCAACACTTTGGATATAAACTTCATCACTTTGAATAGTTAATTTATAATTTTCAGAACCACAACTATAAGAGTCTTCAAAATTAAGAGGGAACTTATACTTGTTGAAATTAGTTTTGGTTGGTTCAGTAAATTTAGGTGGGTTTGAGAAGCAAATATTAGTAATTTTAAATGAACCAGTGTCTTGTGAGTCTATTGGTCCATTGTCATACCCAAAAGTACTTGATCTGAAATTATCGAAATTGAAAGTTTCATTAACGTTTTCATAGTATAAGTTAATTGAAATATTATAATAATGTAGTCTAAAATTATCTTTGCCATTATCAACATACCATCCTCCAAGGAAGAATGAACCAGTAGCAACTTCATCATCAGACTTTTCTTTATATAATAATGTTACTGGTTTTGATAAGAATTTTTCAGTATTAGTGTAGATATTAACACCATGAGAAGCAGCAGAAGGAGATACTCTAATTGAAATATTAGTATCGTATCCAATAAAGTTTTCTCCGTCATCTGGAAGAATAGTAAGATAACATGATTTACTATTATTAAAATTAAAAATAATTGGTCCTTCTACAGGGTCACAATAAATTCTTTGGTCATTCCCTTCAAAATCAAATGCACTTGATGGTATTTCAAAAAGATTACTTTCAGTATCAAACTCATATTTAACATTATACTCTGATGGATCTGTTGATTCTGTTGATGTACGTAATCTTTTATCTTTTTGTCCAATATCAGACTCTTTAAAATAATAAACAGTGTGTTGAGCAAAACACCCAACTAAGAATAACAATCCAAGAATGAACATAATTTCTTATTATTTAAAGATATAAAGTTAGTTTAAATACTAAACTTTCACCTTTAAATTTCGTATGATAAATGAAACTAATAATAAATAAAATTGTTGAATTTTTAAATTAAGAAAATAATAATAACTCTTTTCCAATTATTTATTTTTGGAACAATAAAAATGTAAATTTAACTAAAATTATATTTATTTCACTAATAATTTTATTATAAATTTTACTTTAGTATTATTAGAAGAAAATATTTCATATTTCTATTATTATATTATGACAAATTATATTTTTAGAAGACGTTATTATTTAATTTTTTTGTTATTAATAGCATAATTTAAAAATAAAACAAAATTTAAATATTGTTTTTCAATGTAACATTTTTGTTTTTAAGGAGTTAAGGTTTTACAATAATTAGAGGAGTTGAACTAAATAATAGAAGTGATAAAACTTAAAATTGAAACGGTAAGGAACTTTAAAAAGTTTATTTTCTCAACTCTAATGAACTGATATTTAAACAAAAAAACTAAAATAAATTATCATTAAATAAATATGGGAGACGAAGAAGTTCAAGCACTTGTTGTAGATAATGGATCAGGAATGTGTAAAGCCGGATTTGCTGGTGATGATGCACCAAGAGCTGTATTCCCATCCATTGTTGGTAGACCAAGACACGTTTCAGTTATGGCTGGTATGGGTCAAAAGGATGCTTATGTTGGAGATGAAGCTCAATCAAAGAGAGGTATTCTTACACTTAAATATCCAATTGAACACGGTATTGTTAACAATTGGGACGATATGGAAAAGATCTGGCATCATACTTTCTATAATGAACTTAGAGTTGCACCAGAAGAACATCCAGTTCTTTTAACTGAAGCCCCAATGAATCCAAAAGCTAACAGAGAAAAGATGACTCAAATTATGTTTGAAACATTCAACACCCCAGCTATGTATGTTGGAATTCAAGCTGTTCTTTCATTATATGCCTCAGGTAGAACTACTGGTATTGTTATGGATTCAGGTGATGGAGTTTCACACACTGTCCCAATTTATGAAGGATTCTCACTTCCACATGCTATTCTTAGACTTGATCTTGCAGGACGTGATCTTACTGATTATCTCATGAAAATCTTAACTGAAAGAGGATATGCTTTCACCACTACTGCTGAAAGAGAAATTGTCAGAGATATTAAAGAAAAACTTTGCTATGTTGCTGAAGATTTCAATGAAGAAATGCAAAAAGCTGCATCAAGCAGTGAACTTGAAAAGAGCTATGAACTTCCAGATGGACAAGTTATTACTGTTGGAAATGAAAGATTCAGATGCCCAGAAGCCCTCTTTCAACCATCATTCCTTGGTATGGAATGCAATGGTATTCATGAAACTACCTACAATTCAATTATGAAATGTGATGTCGATATCAGAAAGGATCTTTATGGAAATATTGTTCTTTCAGGAGGAACATCAATGTATCCAGGTATTAACACCAGACTTGAAAAGGAAATGATTCAATTAGCACCACCAACAATGAAGATTAAGGTTATTGCACCACCAGAAAGAAAATACTCAGTCTGGATTGGAGGATCAATTCTTGCCTCACTTTCTACATTCCAAAACATGTGGATTACCAAGGAAGAATATGATGAATCTGGACCAGCTATTGTCCACAGAAAATGCTTCTAAGTCATTTTTAGTTTAATTTCTTATTTTATTTTCAATATCTTTTTAATAAAAATTTTAAATCATATATTTGTTATATTGTTGATTGAAAAGAGTGTTGGCAGCACATTAGAAAACGAATCATCTAATGCGAATCTGTTAGAAATAAAGCTCTACTGGAGAAGTAGAGCATATTGAAGAAACTGAAGCAAACACTTCTCAATATTCATAAAATCCAATTGTGGATAGTTGAAAAGAAATTAATTTAGAAGTTAGAATAAAAACATAAATTATTTGTTGATTAATAAAACACACTAATATTTCCCTCATTTTTCCTTACTTCTGATAAGGAAGATGCTAATCCATAAGTTAGTTTATGAAGTTCTCTAGAGCTTTTTCTTAAAATTTGCATAGACTTACTTTTTGGTTGTTTAGACAATAAGTTCTTCTCTTCTTCATGAGGGACTGGTGTGTCAACGTCTTTATTTAATGTTTCAAGTTTTTCATTTTTCTTTTGAGGTTCAGGTGGTAATTTAGATAATCCTACTCCCATTAATGTAATACTGTAATGAATGAAATAAATGAGATTCTTAGCTTTAAATAAGTAATTTGAGAAGTAACAGATGAGTGATTTTGAGCAAACGATACTTTTAGTAGAAAGAATTGGAAGATATTTGTTTAATATGTTGGTACAAAAATAGAATGAATCAATAAAAGTAATAAAATAATAATAATTCAATAGAATATCATAAATCTCCCTTCATACTAAAATCATAAATTGAAGTTAACAAATAGATAAGAAGTAAATTAGTTTTAATTAAATAATTTTTTATTTGTAGACAATTTGAAAGGAACAAATTTAATACCATCACCAAGATAAAACTTGTTTTGGAATTCTACCCAATGAAGCCTTAATGTATGAAGGAATGCAGAAAGTGATTCCATTCCAATAAGAATACCTAGAGTAATTAATGCAAATAAAGCAAATCCAACAAATGTTAAGAAGAAGTTGTTAAATTCAAGAAGAGTATAAAATACATATTCTAAGAAAACAGAACCTAATTGAGCATGAGCTAATGACAATGCCCATAAACGAAGATAAGAAGCAGTATTAGAGATACATCCAAGAATAAATTCAACTGCATGAATAGTATTAAAAATAATAATTTCTAATAAATTATTACCATTTTCATCATCTGGGTCATATTTTACTCTAATCCATTCTTTTTCATCAAATGTATAATTTGGATTTTTTTTCTTAATTAATTTAAGAATTTTTGAAATTTTTGATTCTTCTGATAATAAATTCTCTTTTTTAATTGACTTATTTTCATTTCCTAATAAACTTACTCTATCTTCATTTTCAAATTGTTCTTGCATTTCTTCAATATTATTATTTGCTACAATATATCCATCATTTTCATTTGGAAGATATGGAATGTCATTATTTTCTTGTCTTATATCTTCAGTAATAAAATCATTATTTTCTTGATTAAATGGTTGATAATAATTATCTTGACCTTGTCCATTTTCACTTCTTTTTTGATCTTTCTTTTTTAATACATAGAGAAGAATTGGTTTTGGAACCATCATTGCAATAACTGACAATACTGTAAATATAAATAATATTGGTTCAATAAAACTTTGTCCCCAAAACATATGATTTGGTTCTGTTACTATTCCAAAATTTTGGAACATTTCTAAAAAGACATTTGTGATCATTGGTGCATCTTCAATAAAGAACATCCATTTAATAAGAATTAAAAAGCAAAGATATCCAAATGTACAACTCATAAATATTATTTCTGGAAGAAATTGAAATACTACATTTATTAAATTCTTATAATGAATATGATTTATCAATGAAATCCAAATTCCTATTGTCATGTGTGTTACTCCAATAAGAATTGACATTTTCATTTTTAATGAATTGTAAAAATATAATTCATTATTAGATGATTTCCATATTGGATCAACACCAAATGGATAAACATAATTTGGATTACTTCGTTCATAAAATAATCCATTTTCTTTATTCCAGGATGTTCCAAATAAGTCAATAGCAATTCCAAAAAATTCATTATATAAAGCACCACAATAAATAGAAAATAATCCCATTAATAAAATCATCCACCGTGCTCCAAATAACATATCAAATATTTCATTTCTTTTTGTAAGTTCAATTTTCTTTTGGAATATAATCATTAGAAGAGCAAATAAAAAAACAATAATACCATGTCCTATATCTCCAAACATTACTCCAAATAAAAATGGAAATGTAATAATATATAGAAATCCTGGGTTAACTTCTCCATACTTTGGAATACTATAAGAATCACAAAGATCTTGTGAACATTGACTGAATGAAGTAGTTGGAATGTATGTTGGTGGAATAGCATTTGGATGTGGTTGAATAACTCCAAATAATGGTTTAACTGGTCCTTCTATTTCTTCTAATGCTCTATTAATTTCACTAAATTGGTCTGTTGGAAACCATCCTTCTCCACATAAATGAGAATGTCCTTCATCAACATAAAACATATTAAGAGTAAAATAAACTTGACGTTCTCTTTCAATAACTTCATTCCAAATATTAATGTCACTAGCAATTAAACGAAGGCATTGTCTTTTAGCTTCTAATGCTCCATTCAATACTTCTGTTAATTCATTTAATTCTTGTCTTTTTTCATTAACATAATTTATTCGTTCAATAACATCAATTGGCATTGAATCAAAAATTCTAGCTGAAGATGTTAAACATATTTGATTTAATTTATTTAATACTTCATCTCCTTGTATAAATACAACAAATCCTGTTTTTCTATTATCAATTGGTGCTGATCTTGTAACAACAAACCCACGAGATACTCTCCAAATAACCATTCTTAATGCTTCCCATTTAGATGTATCTATAGTCCCAATAAGATACTTCAATGTTTGTGCAGTTGTTTGGTCAATATCTTGACCAATTAATTCATTAATATGTTCAGATAATGAAATAGCTTCATGAATTCCACTAACTGCACGCTCAGCTGCAGCCACATCAGAAGTTAATTGTTTGAGGTCATTATCAAATGTTCTTATTTTTAATATTAATTGTTCAGAACTTAATTCAGATTGTTGAGCATCAGCTGTTGCAATTGGCAATAGATCTACAGCTAAACTATTTCTTTTAAATATTTTATTAAAACCATCTCTACTTTCTTCAAATGAAATAGTTTCTTCAAATATTCGAATAATTCGTTCTATTTCTTCACATCTTTTAATTTCATTTATAAATCTTCTATCAAAACTTGCTAAATTATCATTAAGATCTATAAATTGAATTATTCCTAATTTTCCAATTCTTTCAATAGTCTCAATGGCAATATTTGATGGAACAATAAGTTGCCCTAATGACATATCTTTCCCTCTAAACATTTCTCCCATACTTTATTCAATAAATCTTTCTATTTAATTTTTAGTTCCTTTTTTAAGTTCATTGATTATTCATTTTCTATCGTTTTTTAAGACGTTTTGTTTCTTCTTTCAATTCCTCATTTTTTTTATGCTTTATATAACGTAATTTACCATTAAAAATGATTAATTCTTTGAATAAATAACAAAAAATAATACAAACATAAAAATATCATTAAAAATAAGAAATAAAAAAATTGTTAATTATGAGAACAAGTTTTACGAGAATCATCAAGAAATTCATACCCATAATAAAATTCTTTCCCAAACATAATTTGTTCACGGGCTGTTTGTTGAAAAGTTTCTGATACAAATGAAATCATATCTTCACCAATAGTTTGTATGGCAATAGAATCAAGCATTATCCCTAAATGGTCATTCCAAAGTTGAGTAAATTTAATTAGTTGAACTGTCTCAATACTCTCTTTTGATCTTTTTGTTTTAATTTGAAATCCGTCTTTCTTTAATAACTCCATTAATTGATTACAAGTAAGAGCAATCCTGTTTCTTTGAGTATATTTCATGAGTTGATTATGTGTATATCTTCCATCATTTTCTTTTTCAGATTCAAGTAATTTGCATCTACTTTCCAAGTCCATTTTAAAATTAATGAAAGTATTTCCACGTTGAAGTGATACAACCGTAAGAAAAGGTAATGATTTCTTTGCCATTTTTGGTTTTTTTAAAACGATATTATATCCCATTGATATCAGTAATCTTAACAAAGTCCCTTGAATTTGTGACTCAAATGATTTGGACTTTCGTTTTGATAAGAAAAATGGTTTTCTTCCTTTATTGAGTAATGGTGGCTCATCAGAATCTTCTGGTGGTGGTTTAACTTTATCACTATTTGAATCTTCCATATCGTTTCTGGCTTAAACAAAATTAATCTGAATTTTTAGAGATTATTTTTTTCACTTTTATTTCTTCCTCAACTCATTTTTATAAATAGTAATATAAACTATTAAATAAAACTATTATATAAATTCATTTTTAAAATATTCTTGAGTTTTTCAAACTTTCAAAATTTTTACCAAACTCAACGAAATTAGAATATTGGAAAGAACTTGAAACTAAATAAAAAGATTAGTTCAAAACTATCCTGTCTTTTTCAAACCAAAAATTTAAGAAGTGCGTCATTCTTTTTGTCATAGAAAAATGAAAGACAAAAAAACAAAAAAAAAATGAAAATTATATTTCTAATAAAAAATAGAAACAGAAGGAATTTTTTTTGAAAGAAAGAAAAAAGTTGAACTGTATTTAATTACAAAATGAATATATCAACAGAACAAATAGACCCTTTAGATAAAGAAGCAAAACAATATAAAAAATATTCATTCAAAGAAAAGAAAAAATTAAAAACTATCGCTGGAGGAGCATCTGATATTGGTGTACGTCCAGCAAATGAAGATACATTCAGAATTATTCCTAATGCCCAACAATTAGTACCAATGAAAAAAAATAAAAAAATGGGGTGTGAATATTATGGATTATTTGATGGACATAATGGATTAGAAGCATCAAAATTTTGTGCTGAACTTATGCATGAAGAAATATTAGAAGATCCTGACTTTGTTAATGGATATTATGAAAATTGTATGGTAAATGCATATTATAGAATGGATTGGTTATTATGTAATTATCATATTAAAGATAATAGTGGATGTACGTCAGTTACTGCATTAATACAAGGAAGGTATTTAGTTGTAGCGAATGTAGGTGATAGTGAATGTCTTGTTATTAAATGTCGTTATTCAAATGAAGTTGAAGTATTAACATATAAACATACAGCAAAAGATGAATCAGAAAAACAACGTATGAAATCTAAAGGAGGAATAGTTTTTAATGGTAGGGTATATGGTTCTATGGTTGTTTCTCGATCATTAGGAGATAAAACCTATAAAGTTTGTATTTAATTTAGTAACAATATATATAATTTAAATACTTAATTGATGTAATGAAATACTTAAGCTTTAGGGTAAAGGAGTTGTTATTCCTGAACCTTATATTAATATTTATGAATTAACAAGCGATGACAAAATTATTGTATTGGCATGTGATGGCGTATTTGAAAAAATGTCATATGAT